TCTCTCCTTAATTGTCAGCAGATAGAGATCTTTCTAAATACAATTCTTAGTGAGTCACTTCCCTATGTAAGATCCTACTGATTGCTCAACTGCCTCCAAGAGAAAGTCTTCACCTCTTCGCCTGGCTTGGCTCCTGGGGTTCCTGCCTACTTCCCCAGCTTTCTCTGGCACCAACCCTGGTGCAAGCCCAACTCCTTTATGCTCCAGCGATACCAGTACTTAACGAAGGCATCTCCTGGGTGTGGGACTTGGAATGTTAAACCAGGACAGTCCTGGGAAACCAGGATGGTGGTCACCCTAGTTTTGCCTTGGGTCTTTGCAACTCTTATTCTTCTCCCCAAAATGTCTCCCCTTGTCTCTCCACCGCCTATTCCCTACTCCATACGACTCGACCTTGGTCTCTGCTTGGACATCGCTTGTGCACCTCCCTGTGAAGTGGTTGGCTGATTTGTCCCTCTGGGAGCTGTCATAGCACACTCTCCCTACAGCTGTCACTGTATCTCCTGGCTGCTCTCTCTCCCTCATACTCATAAACTCATTAAAGGCAGGAACAGTTTTTTCTCCTACCTATACCCCCAGAGCCTAGCAGAGAGTCTGACACACAGTAGGTGTTCAATAAAGTTTTCTGGAATTAATATCAATATAAATTTATCTTTGTTGTCTAATTCACATCACCATAGGGATGTTATGGACTGAATATTGATGTGTCTCTCCCCTCCCCCCCCACAATTCATACGTTGAAGTCTTTTATTTTTATGTTGCAGTCTTAACCCCTAGAGTGGCTCTATTTGGAGACCGAGCCTCTAAGGAAGTAATCAAGGTTAAATGAGGTCATAAGGGTGGAGCCCTGAACCCCACCCTGATAGGATTCATGTCCTTATAAGAAGACACACCAAAACCTGTAACTCCCCCAAGTGGATGCCCCTCTGCTGGAAGTGGACAAGCCTCTGTGGTCACCAGGGGATGACGAGTGACACGGTGAGACTTCCAAGGCCAGGACAAAACAGGTGGTTCAGATTCCCACTGGTTGTCTCTTGAGCTGCTCACCCTTAGAACCTCGCCCCTGCTGTGAGAATTCCCGCCCAGACAGGGAGAAGCAAAGGCCCGGCCTCAGCCCTGGCTGGGCCCCCAGTGGACCGTCAGCACCAACTCTCCAGGCCTGTCCCTGCCCCGTCTTGGAGTGGATCTTCCAGCCTCGGTGGGGAGGAGACAGGATGCTGTGTGGGTTGGAGACAGGCTCTCCCCAAGAGCCCTCCCAAGGGCCAGCAGCAGAACAGACTGTTGTCATAGCAACAAAGTTTGGGAGTAACTTCACAGAAATAGATAATCCAAATACAGCTTAAGACAGGAGGTAGACACGCATACTGGGCAGGTCTGTCTTTCTCTTGATATGTCCTTGTTCCAGGAGAACCTGTCTGTTCCAGAAGCTGGGCTCATTCTCCAGACTGGCCTGTTCAAACATTTGCCCACAGCATGACTGGCTCCTGCAATAACCACAGCAGTTTACTCCTGCAATAACCACAGCAGTTTATTGACTTTTTAAAAAATATATTTTTATTGATTTCAGAGAGGAAGGGAGAGGGAGAGAGATGTAGAAACATCAATGGTGATCAGCTGCCTCCTCCATGTGCCCTGACCGGGAATGGAACCATGACCTCCTGGTTCAGAAGTCGACATTCAACCACTGAGCCACATCAGCCAGGCAACCATAGCAGTTTAGTGTGCAGAATCCTGGAGCTACAGCTCTCCCCCACTTACACAGCTGCCCCTGGTCTCTAGGAGCCAACCATGAGGGCTCAGGATCCAGGAAGAGGAAACCCTAAATCACAGCACCTGCTTTGCCCGAGGGACGATCCCAAGGTCTCATCTGGGTGTGTTTGCTTTCTTCTCTACCCCTGGGGTACGTGTGAACTTCCCTCTGGTGGTACAAATGAATCCATCGTGAATTAGTCATGTTATGTCCTCCACCGATCATCTGGGCATCCAAACCACCATTCTCTACCATCATGTCAGGCCACTGTTTGTTTTTTGTTTGTTTGTTTTTATTTCAGGCCACCTTTTAAAACCATATTATAGTATAGGAGAGGCCTGGTGCACAGATTCATGCACTGGTGGGGTCCCTCGGCCTGGCCTGTGGCTCTCCAACATCCCCTGAGGGGTCTCGAATTGCGAGAGGGCGCAGGCCAGGCCAAGGGACTCCACTGGTGCACGATTGGGGCCAGGGAGGGACCTCGGAAGGGCTCTAGGGTGTGTCTGGCCTGTCTCGCCCAGTCCCGACCTGCTGGACCCCAGCAGCAAGCTAACCTTCAGTCAGAGCATCTGCCCCCTGGTGATCAGTGCGTGTCACAGCAACTGGTCGAATAGTAGAACAAACTGTCAGACACTTAGCATATTAGCTTTTATTATATAGGACTAGAGGCCAGATGCATGAAATTCGTGCAAGGGGCTCGGACCCAGCAACTGCTGCAGCAGCTATGCCTCGGCCCCTGCCCACCATGACTTCGTCCGGAAGGACATCAGGTCTAATTAGCATTTTAGGCTTTCATTATTATAGATCAGTGGTTCTCAACCTTCTGGCCCTTTAAATACAGTTCCTCATGTTGTGACCCAACCATAAAATTATTTTCGTTGCTACTTCATATCTGTAATGTTGCTACTGTTATGAATCGTAATGCAAATATCTGATATGCAGGATGGTCTTCGGCGACCCCTGTGAAAGGGTCGTTCGACTGCCATAGGGGTCGCGATCCACAGGTTGAGAACCGCTGTTATAGATGAACATTAGTGTTCAATATTACATGGTTGACAATCATTTAATTGTCTACCATTCTGCTTTACTTGGGTAACTAAGTATCCTAGAATGGTCACTTCTGGGACCTTAAAATGGTTACATGACCTTAAATGGTTTAGTTGAAAATGTGTGACTACTATTTTTGCAGCTAAATAACATTTTATGTTTTCCAATAACTCTTTAATGCCCATCCATTGAATATTTGGAAATGTACATGTTACCCCACTGTGCTGGGTATTCTTCACTGTCCCACTCATATCCCTCCCTCCCTGACCACTCCTGGCCACACTGCTCAGCTCCACTACCTGCCTCAGAAGCTGACATCTAAGAGCTGTGCCCCTGGCGTCTTTGCTGTTGACTTTCAGGTGAGATTGACCAAAGGGAAGTGCTATTGGAGTGTCAAAGGTGGGGAGAGAGGGGGGTTGAGTGTTCTCTGCCCCCGTAGGCTGTGTTCCCCACCACACAGCACACACCCTATTGGGTGGCCTCTCCCCTGACTACAGTTCTCACTGGGTTCTAGGAACAACGTGTCCTTTCCCATCTGCCTCTTCAGGCCAAAGGACGATAAAGGTTTCTGCAGTTGCTACTTCCTGGGTGTGTCACTATCTCATCTTGATTCTTTTAATCCTGCCCAGCGAGTGAATTGTGTCCCCCCGCCCCGCAAAGTTCCCATGCTGAAGCCCTAACCCCTAGGATTTCAGCATGTGACTGTCTTTGGAGATAGGGTCTTCAAAGAGGTAAGTAAGGCTCACTGAGGCCATGTGGGTGGGCCCCCATCCAATCTGACTTGTGTCCTTATAATAAGGGAGGATTGGGACACAGAGAGGACACATGTGAGGACACAGTGGGGAGGCAGCCATCTGCAAGCCACGGAGGGAGGTCTCAGAAGAAATCAACCCTGATGACACTGTGACCTTGGACTTTCCAGCCTCCAGACTGTGAGCAGATGAATGTCTATTGTTTATAAGCAACCCACCTATGGTATTTTTGTTATAGCAGCCTGAGCAGACTAAGACAGTGATACTTTGTGTGGGAAGCTACCCATGTCTTCACTATCAGAGAAGTGTAAACAAGGAGCCCGAATGCTGGTGAACCTTGAGCCCTGGCAAGGGCCAGAGCTATGCACCGATTGTTTAGTCGAGACAATGGTAGCTCAAGCAATTTCCTGACCAAATAGTCTCAGAGTAAATCTTTACTAATATTTACTGACCTTTAAGATAGTCTGTCTGTTACCGGAATTGCCTGCCTGACTAAGGGCTATATGTGTATCCAAAATTGAATAAAAGATTGGCAAGGCCTGGGCACCAGGGGAAGTCCTTCCCCTTGCATTGGTTTTCCTGCCTGGCCCCCAATATTTCCAAATTATTATTTCTTGTCTCATCTCTGTCATTTGCGTGCGGCCCTTCTCTAGATCCCGAACACTGAACCACTCGGGACGTGGCTCGCACAACTTTGTTATGGAAGGCCTAGCAAATTAAGACACCCTGGTAAATAGGATGTAGTGTATGAACATCAAACTGCTCAAGCAGCCTCGGAGGTGTGCTGAGTGCATCCTTCCGGGACCCTGCCTCGTACACCTGATATTACCAATGGTACTATCACATGACCCTTTATTAACCCCTATCATCACATTCCCATCTATGCTTGTAAATATGTCAACATTTATGCCATGAATACCTTTTGCTGAAATACTGTAGAACTCACCTTCACAATAAAGTACCTACTGCCAACAGTTTCTTTCTTTCTTTCTAAAGATTTTTTATTGATTTTTAGACAGAGAGGAAGGAAGAGCGCGAGAGAGAAACATCAATGTGGAGAACAGGATATTGATGGGCTGCCTCCTGCACACCTCCTGCCAGGGATGAAGCCCGAAACCCAGGCATGTGTCCTGACCTGGAATCGAACTGGCAACCTTTCCATGCACAGGACGATGCCCAACCAACTGAGCCGCACCAGCCAGGGCCACCAACAGCTTCTATAGAGGAGCCAAGTACTATCCAATGCTCCAAGTGTGGAGCACCTTGTCATTTCTATAAAAATCTGTTCACATTTTTTTTTAAATCCTCACCCGAGGATATGTTTTATTGATTCCTAGAGAGAGGGAAGGAGGAAGGGAGGGGGAGAGAGAGAGAGAGAGAGAGAGAGAGAGATCTATCAGTCCTGTATGGGGATCGATCCAACCTGCAACCCTTTGTTGTGCTGGATGATGTTCCAACCAACCGAGCCACACTGGCCAGAGCTCTTTTCACATTTTTAAATCAGCTTCAGCTCTGAAGCCTGGATGGGCAACGACCGGAGGCCAGAGTGTCTCTGAAGATGCTGCATGAGAACTTTCGTGGCTGCCTCGGTGGCTGGGAGCCCCGCCAACCGACAAGGAGGCCAGGCAAGCTGAGCTGGGACTTGCAGAGGGGAGCTGGGTTCTGCACTCAGGGACACCTAGGGAGGAGAAAGATATCATTAGAGTGAGAGTCATTGAAACATCAAAGGAAGCTATATAATTAAACATATTTTAATGATGTAAAACCATTGTGTAAAATCACAGGACTGGGTGGGATCTATTGAGACTTCCCCATTTCACCACCCCTTATCCCCATGCAATCTCCGCCGTGAGCTGCTAATAATAACTTCTTTCGTCTCCGGAGTGCTCTCACAGCCATGATTTCATCTGAACCTCAGGGAACTCTGCGAGGTGGGCAGGGAGGTCTGAGCGCCTCCCTTTCACAAATACACGAAACCGAAGAACAGGCAGGTGCAGGGCCAGCCCACGTTCACAGAGCGAGAAGGTGTTAGGGCTGGAGACTTGGGATTCTTAGGCCGGGTGAGTATCAAGCGCCCATAGTTTATACTCCCTACTAATCTGGGCATGCACACATTCTCTCTGAAAAGGCAAATGTCACAGGCTGACCTTCCAACCAAAACTCACGGTGAGGAAGGCTTTCTCCTCTGCGTCCGGCCGTAGCAGGAAATGGAAGAGGAAAGAATGGAGAGAAAGCATATGCGTTGAGCTTGCAGGAAACTTGTACTTGTACGTTCACCCTTGCTTTGGCTCCTACCGCGTGCACAGACATCAGGAGACTGAGCAGACACAGATGCCGAGGCCTTCCCCGAGCACAATCCCCCTCCTATTCCTCCGTGTTCAGCTGGCAGGTCTCAGCAGCAGATCATCTGTTAAGTCCCCTTAATGCTCTGTTAGAAACGTGTGCAACACACAGGGTTTCTGTTCCTCTGGGGGAACTCAGAAATTGCTTCAGCTGATGACTGCTGTCTCCTGTCCTCCTAGTCTACAAAGGTGCATCACACCGGCTGGTTCGACCTCACCTGCTCTCTTTGCTCCTCTAAATACAACCTGTCCTTCGAGGCCCACGTTCTGTAAGGAGCCTGACCCTCGGGGGTTTCTGCCTCGGCTGGATTGCTACCGAGGCCTCTGGCTTAGCATGGAACATACCTATGCTCTTGGCATTTAGCATTTGTTTCTGAATGTCATTGTTTGTTTTCTGATGAAAACGCAGGCTCCCTGAGAGCAAAGCTGGAATCTTCCACCTCCCTGAACCCTCGGCTGCCTGCCTACAGCTGAGAGAGCCATCTATGTTTACTGATCTTTCTGGCAAAGAGCAGGCAAAACTAGGGTTAAACACAGCAAGTCGTTAGAATCGAGGAGGAAAGGGGAGAAGGAATGGCAGGTATAATCTTCCCTGGTGTGCAGTGTTGAGATCAGCACGGGGTAAGCATGTTCAGTGTTGCTCTAAGATCAGCACCAGGGAAGACAACACATAGAAGTGTTCCTTTGTGCTATTTTAGTAACAATGAAAGTAAAATAATACCTGCTGAGAAGGAAAAAGAAAAAACTAGCTCTCTGTGATTCAAGAATGGGCTAGTCACACCTCACCTGTAACAGTTTCAAACTTAATCCTATTCTGCGTAAAACTTATTTACCCCTGCATTTGAGGAACCCCTTCCCCCTAAGCCCCCAGGGAAGTCCACAGGCCCAGGCAGGCTCCTCGAGCTCTCCTTCTTCTCTGTGGCAGGTCCCAGGGACTCCCCCCCACCTCCTTCTCTCTCTTAGTAATGGTCATCGCCTTTCCAGATTGTGGGCTTTCTCCTCCCTTCAAGCTGGGCTCAGGGAAGATGATCTCCGTACGTCCACACTTCCCTGCTGTCCGTGAAAGCAAGTTCCTAGACCCTCGTCTCTTCATTGTAAGACTTTCATGTTCATCGTTACAAGAGAAAAGACAAGATTTAAGGGGAAAACACGAGGACGTTGTATACACAGGTACACACCTGACAGCCCTGGGTCTTGGTCTAGAGCAGCGATTTTCAACCTGTGGGTCGCGACCCCTTTGGGGGTCGAACGACCCTTTCACAGGGGTCGCCTAAGACCATCGGAAAACATATATAATTACATATTGTTTTTGTGATTAATCACTATGCATTATGTTCAATTTGTAACAATGAAAATACATCCTGCATATCAGATATTTACATTATGATTCATAACAGTAGCAAAATTACAGTTATGAAGTAGCAACGAAAATAATTTTATGGTTGGGGGTCACCACAACATGAGGAACTGTATTAAAGGGTCGCGGCATTAGGAAGGTTGAGAACCACTGGTCTAGAGCATCTGACAATCTAGAAATAACTGGAAAATTTTTCTTTTCTTTTTTCACCCATGTTGGGGACCAGCCCCTGGTTCCTGGCACAGAGCTCCTAAAACAGTGTAAATTCCCAAGTGATACAAATCAGTGCTTAAAGAATTTGCTTAATCTTCCAATGGTTGTAGTACAGTCTATTTATAGATGAGCCATACTGATAAATATCTGAGCTGTTCCCAGTCTTGCACGTACAAACAATGCTGATATAAACAATCCTCACATATGCACAGGTCTATCTGTGGTGGCCTGTGATCGGACGGGCTGTTGGTGGCAACAGTAATCCTAGTACTGAGGCATCATCGCAAAGCCCATTCCTCTCTCCAGCCAGTTTCTATGTCTTTAAATAGAAGGACATTGGAGAAGAGAAATGTGAAGCCATGCTTTACACATCAAGAATTCTCTGCCCAGCTGGCGTGGCTCAGTGGTTGAGCCTCGACCCATGAATCAGGAGGTCACGGTTCAATTCCCGGTCAGGGCACATGCCCTGGCTGTGGGCTTGGTCTCCAGTGTGTGGCATACAGGAGGCAGCCAATCAATAATTCTCTCTCATCATCAATGTTTCTCTCTCCCTCTCTGAAATCAATAAAAAGATATTAAAAACAAACAAAAAAGAATTCTCCAGGGTTCTGTTCTTGGCCCACATCCTGGGCCATCAGTGCCTAACTCTCCAATTGCTCTCTCACCCCACTCTCCCTGCCCAGCTCCTGGCTCACACGCTCAACTCTCTTCTGACTCCGCTACCTCACACCCGGCATGTCCTATTGTGTTGTAGTCTCAGTAGTGGTGGCAGGAACATTAATACGATTGCTCAACGCAGGTACCTAGGAGTCACCCCTTACTTGACCGGAAGCTTCCCCTCATGCCCCTCCACCCCCTGCCTGTAAGCCCCTGGAGGGCAGAGACCTTATCGTGTTAGGGTTGTACCCCTCGTGCCTAGTCCAGGGCCTGTAAACTACTTGTTGGATCAATGAGTAAACACACGAATGATTCCTCCTTCTTTTCCCCAGAGCAATGGCTGGAACCACTGGGCAGGTGGACTTTGAAGCAGGGATGGAACACTCCTGTCCTCAGGCAGGATTTTATTGGGCAGAAAGAAGTCATGAGAGTGGTGAGACGCTCCTGAGGCCGACTGACCCGGGAAAGAGAGGCTAAGGCTAAGGCTATCAATAGGGCACACGCCAGCTTCTCTACCTGTGTCTGTCACTCCCTGATTGGACCTTGTTGTTTTCCATTCATGTTATTTGCAGAAATTATCAAATGATCACTGATACAAACACCACCCTTGGATAAACCCATGGATAACTTAAGAGCACAGATTAGGAAAAGGACCATGTGGATGTGAATACAGGACCGATGTTGACAGCTCCTGCAATGCCCCCCTCGTGAATAATAATTGCAAATGCATGACTGCTGGGCGTGGTCCAGAGAGTCACATACTTGTGATTTCATTTAATCTCCCTAAGCCTGTGATATGGTAAAGGGAGGTAAAGAAGGTGACAATCTTCACTTGATGGGAGACCCCACCCACATCCCCTTTAAAAAAAATCTACCCTGAACACTTTATTATGAGAGTCATGTGGTGAAACTGTATATAAAGCCCTGGCCGGTGTGGCTCAGTTGGTTGCATGCTGTCCCATTCACCAAAAGTCACTGGTTCGATTCCTGGTCAGGGCACATGCTCAGGTTATGGGTTCAATCCCCAGATCGATGTTTCTCTGTCTCTCTCTCTTTCCCTGCCCCATTCTCTCTCTCTAAGGGAAAAAACCCCCCGATAAAAACATTTTAAAAAGAAAAGAATATTATTTTAAAAACTGTATATAAATATGGACTGCTGTGTTTGCAAATCATAAAACCAGAAGTATTTTGTTGTTGTTGTTTTAGTCATAGAAACACAGCTTCGACTCAGCCTGTAAACTGCCTAAGCCTAGCCCTGGGGCTGAGTAATAAGTAAGGGCCACTGGTGGGGATACAGGCTCAGAGCACAGACGAGATGGCTGGGGAGGAGCCACCTCGGAGAGGGGAGCCTACGAGGGGTGGTGGCTCCTCCTGGCTTCAGCTTCATCCCCAGGAGGGAGCTGCTTCATGGACTTCCCATCGGGGATTCTGTGAGGAGGACCCCTGCCATCCTCCCGCCTGTCTGGGAGCCCAGAAGGCTGCTCAGGCCCACCTGCCACCCTTCTAGGGGCCCCTGCGTAGGTCAGCGCCTCTGCAGAGGGTGCTCCCTTTCCCTCCTAGCCCACGCTGCTTCTGTGAGAAACAGAGGAAAGGGTTAGGGGGAATCATCAACACGGCTTTAAGGAAGCCTCAGACCTCTGCTGTTAACCTTGGGGTAAAACTGTCAGCTGTGGAGGAAGGCTAAGCAACTCTACGCAGGGTTTGGAAATTTAAATCCAAGGCGATGTGAGGACACCATTAAGTAAGTGAAATAGGGAGGGGTGTGTTGCAAAATGTTCATAGGCCATAAAGCTCAAACGGCTGTTTGCTAGTAATGGTTATGAACTCAGATTTCAAAACATCCCTGTCTCGGAAAATTAGTTTCTACTGTAGTTTGTGGTGAAATACTATGTTACTAAATGTTCTACACACACACACACACACACACACACCTACATATGTACATGCACGTTTTAAACCCCCGTAGTAACAGCGATTAAAATATGTCATAAATAATATAACAAATTATTTTACATAGCTCATAAACACGTTTCTTCTCTTCTGGTAGATCCTGAAGAGAAGCCAATTTGGGTCAAATATTTGGTGTTTGGCTCTTAAATAAAAACAAGC